CCTCATGCTTAAGTGAATTTGCTTGAATTCTGTGGAATGATATATGGGAGTCATTGCTCAAAAACTCTCGGAATTATATCAGACTACTTAATATGCACTTTTCTCATTTGAAGCAGTAATATTTATTTTTGTGACTTTTTGGAGGGAATGGCGTATGTAAAAAATGAACCAAAATGTTTATTTCGTATTGGGATTCCTTGATAAAATAACCATGAAGATAGGCATTTTTCTTCTTGCTTCACATCTGGCTACTTATAAGTAGTTTGAGTATCTTGAAAATTCAGGCGCGGGTTCCAAGGTTTCTTACGCTGTCTTGCGGAAGGGTTTAATTCGTAGAAGAGGGCGAACTTTCCACCCATGGGTTGAATTTTTGAAAAGGTACTTGAAATCCCATGGCTTCTGATGAGGCTGGTCTGCTAGCAGCAGTCAAACAAGGAGTGTTCGGAGCATTATCAAAGCTGATTAGCTGCCGAAGAGAACAGCTCAATAGTTTAGTAGAAATGGGCAAATATTTCCAAATTCCTTCATGTTGTCGAATCAATCCAGAACCACTTTGAAAGGCCCACTGACCATAAAAAGTCATCAACCAGCGATATCCTAAGACAATATTTTCTGAGCAGATGTGTACCGGATGAGTTTTACGGTGCTCAGAGATCATCTGGAGGCAGTAATAAAGGCGGATCCGAGACGTAGTGGAGACCATCGAATAATGTTTGGGAAGGATAAGGAGCATGCGCTTGTTCCAGTGGCAGCTGGCCTGATCTTCGCTCTTGTCAATCAGTCTGCGAAGGTTTCGTCACTAAATGCGGAGACTTTATAAGTGCATGGTTGCATGACCACGGTGGCTCTTCGACGTAGGGCGAAACATTTTTTAAACATATTTCTAGGCTTTGCAAACAAATTAGCGGCCAATACACGCACTAAAGTTACCGAAGTTCCGACGGTTACTGCGTAAAACGATAAATGATATCCTTCAAATTCATTCCTTCTGACTACTAGAGCCAGGGGCTTGTTGGGTACTATTTTAGCAGTTGAGAGCCATCCATCTAGACCCTGAATGGGATGTGTTTAGAATAAAACACTGAATTCACCAGGTTTTACTTCTGATCAGAACAGAAAACCACAAGTCATTAAGGGAAACGATCACAAACAAGATGTCAACTGGTTGTGGGCTGTCGACGAATTTTCAGCAGCCTTATGAGTAGTGCATTAGGAACACACATGTATCGCGATATCTCGAATATCATACCAACTGAAACAAGGGGCTGTCTGGTGCAGCACATTCATTTGCTTAGAAACGTCATAAAACGAGAGCTTCCGTTGGGTTCCAGTGAGTCTTTCGCAATACCGAATTTATTTGCAAATGAGACGTTAACGACTTTGAACAGCAATCAAAACAAACAATTCGAGGTAAGGCTTGTTCAACGGAATCAACTCAGCGTCGTTGGTGAACCTCACTGGACAAAATTCCAGCGCACAACCGCAGGTGAAATTTAGCCAGACAGTCCGAAAAGGAAATGACAGCATGCGAGCCACTGAGGTCCGTTATGTGCCATGTCCTACTGCGTGTCCAACCAACAGCGGGCTGGATCACGTGGACACCAGCCAGGAAGGCGCGAAGGTTTGACAGTAGCCTCGTGCTGCTATGTTTCCCGCTAAACTTTCACCAGCAATCGATCGAAAGAGAAAATAATGCCTTATTCAGTCACGCACATGGCTCAACTGTCTCAACAATCTAGTGTTCTAAACAATCGATCGAAAGAGAAAACAATGCCTTATTCAGTAACGCACATGCCTCAACTGTCTCAACAATCTAGTGTTCTAACCAATCGGATTCGTTACTCAGTGTCCACCTCCACACCACTTTCATGCGAACTCGCTGTAGCCAGTTTAATCATGTTATGCCAGATAGAATGTGTAAAACTAATCTACCAGCAGATGCGAAGTCGAGAAAAACAGCTGTTGTTTGTTGGCGGTATAAGTGGCGTCGCTTAACCACTTGAAGTAACGTAAAGGTATGGTCACTGGACCCTCTGTTGAGTAGAAATCCGGTTTGATGCTCTCGAACATGCGTCTCACTTGCGGAAGAGGCGAGTGAGAGGCTACTGTGATGTGAGGAGCTACACGAAGCACTCATGGCCAAAAATAGGGCTATCTACTCAGACGCCTGGTAGCTGTTTTGTCACCGTTAGATTTTGACGATCATCATGGCCAAAAATAGGGCTATCTACTCAGACGCCTGGTAGCTGTTTTGTCACCGTTAGATTTTGACGATCATCGCTTGTTTTGATGCAGTTATCATTTATCAACACTTACTGGTGAGGTACCGTCGCACCATGAGCTCCAGGTGACGTCAAATCTCATGAGGATGGAAGAATTTCTGAATATATGCGAACAGTTCACTCAGCAATCAAACAAATTGAGGCATTACCGTTCTTATTTTATTCAATGAGGCCTCGGTCATCCTAACACGGATTGATTAAGGCTCACCCATCGTCTTTTAAAAATGATTTACCAACCGCACACACACAGTTGGGACCTAAAGGCGGGCACTGTGATAAATTGATCAATACCAAAAGCCTTCAAAGACCTTCTTTACGGCTGTCTGGTCAGGTTTTGTGGTGTTTTCTGCGCTCTTTGTGTATAAAATCAAAGTTTGTAGAGAGCGACACTTCGTGGCTAACTGTAGTAGATGGGGGTAGCTTTAAAATTTAGGCAATAAGACAAATCCTAGTGAAACTCGTCCGTAGCGATTGCTGATCGAACCAGTTCATAAGCGACCAATCTAAAGCACTGCATACTGTGAACTTTGTTGTCATCCGGGACTTGTTGGCCAAATATACTGTATTGCAAGAGTTTTTACCACCATTCTTTAGTTTTTCGTTAAATAAACTATGTAGCTGGAGGGCATGTGCGGAATTCCGCACCGAAACTGTTTTACTGCTCGGCGCTGCTACGGCCAGTAGACCTAACCCGGACGCCATTGGCCTAAAGAACGGGCCGCGTGCCGGTCCAGCGTCAAGGGGAGCTGTGATTGGTCGAAAGTCTGGACCCAACAACCGATCATGATCCAGTATCTGCCGGATACTGGTTGGCGACGGCGCGACCAGAAGTCTTAAGGATTCCCAGAATGTTCTCGCCGCATACACTTTATACCGACGCGCTGTACATGTTTTCGACCTGGTTTTTGGCTTTCAACGCCCTGCGCAGCTTCGGTAATTGTTTTGACGGGAACGCTATCTTGGAGGGTTCAGACCGAGAACTGAGCTTAAAATATGTCGTTATTACAGGGCGTCATTAGAGTACATTCGACAAGCAAAGTGCTTATATGACCTGATATCTAAACTAGTCGAGAACTAAGTACTGTGTTATGCAACTGTCTGCAAATCCACAGTGGTACAGACTTTACCGGGGTCTTATTCAGCTAACTGCCTGATGAAGTTTCAACAGGGCAAGCCTATCGCCTTGAATCTCCCAAATGAGTAGGCAAATGCTAGGCTAACCCGCTACTTTGGTGAAGATTTCTTCTTTTAAGTGAAGTTAGTCTATGACGAAAAGCCAAGAACTCCACAGCTGTTTCACTCCCTATCGGGAATCGTGTGCACTGCATTTACGGTGTCACTAAGGCTTGAGAGTTGGGTCGCAGGGAAAGGATTGTTCGCTTAAACCAAAGAAAAGCGGTCGGTCATGTGCACGGCATTTATGGTGTCACTAAGGCTTGAGGGTTGGGTCGCAGGGAAGGATTATTCGCTTAAACCAAAGAAAAGCGGTCGGTCCCGGTTCTTTAGGTTGACCAGTTTAGCGCCTACCGAAAGATCACTCTCATAAGTGACCGCCCACTTAAACGCCCAGTTTCAACGGGTCTACTGGAATTACATCAATACTACAGGACCACCGGTGTCTTCTTTTTTCTTTTAGGATGACCGAGGAGTTCAGAGGCTTCGTCCGAAAATGATGGTGCATGCTGCATCACTGCGATAAGATATTCTGTTCAAGAATGACATTCAGTATTTCACTACGGAGGGTGAGGTAACAGAACTGCCAATAACACTGTTCTGTTAAAAATAAAGATGATTTAAAAGAGGACACTGTCAATGGAACGTGCATTTGTTTCGTTCTAGCATTCGCCTTCTTGGCCGATTTTAATTACCAGGGGGTACACCTTGAACCATGTTGAATAGCTGGCTAAACCGTAACACGAAATAGTCACGGTTTGGCCTTCAGAGAGAGAACATCTTTCTTGGGCCGTTAGAACTGTACTCATTAAGGGACCAACTCGAGGAGATCTCTTTGGAGAGACGACCCGTCCTAGTTAGGTTAACACTGTCTGTTGGTCTTGAGAGTTTGAAAAGACAAAAACCCACTCACAACTACAGTTACTAATTTGAGTAACTAGTAATCAACACGTGTGACCGCGTGATATGGATATCGTGATTGGAGGATGAGCGGCGCTGTATCCTGTCTAAGTGAGAGTTAATCACAGTGCTGATCAGCCGCTTGTGGCCGAACGGTTGTGTTCAAACTACTAGCCAGGAGGTCGAGACTTTCCGGAGTTTCGTGGGATACGCACTGCCGAAGATTCCCAGCAAGGATGAAACAGCTGTACAATGCTTTCCGACTTTTTAGCACAGACTGGCTTCGCTTACAGAACGAAGTCTCCACCGAACTTCCGAAATCTGTCCACAGTGTGAGCAAACTGTAGCAGGTTAGTCATTGTTGAAACAACCCGTTACGTCATTAAGCAAAAGTTTGGAAAATATAAAACATATCTGAAGGCTTTTCATGTACAGAAATAACGCAGTTTGATCAGAAGTAGGTTAGCCGGCGTCCCAAAACACTAGGGGGTTAAATGTGCATTGTCTTGAGATCAAGACAACAACTTCAAGTTGGTTAATTTGATTCAGAAATAGACCTATTGCAACCGCACGTATTCGACTATGGTTTATTTGAGCGCTGCGATGACTTAGTGTCATGCGATTCAGATTTTACGTCTTCCGTACCTGATTGTTCCTCATGCTCCATACTGGGCGGGGCTGCTGGTTGACCCGAGGCTGACAACTGTCCGCTTCCAGACCCGGTACCACTGTCGGACTGTGAGGCTCCGGCAACCAACGGCACAAATGTGTGTATCAGTGTAGGGTTGGATGTGGAGTTGTTCAAGCGGGCAAATGCAGGAACGGTACCAAGTTGGGGTTGAGAAGATCCCATGAATTGGACGCGTCCACCTGGGGCTTGGTACAGCAATCCGACGGGCACCTGAGTGCCTGGGGCTTGAACGCATGCTTGTGGATGTGGTTGTCCGGTGAGGGCTTGGTACGGTTTGATGTTGTCCGCTTGTGACACGGAAGGCCGAACACCTGGTTGGCCTGTTTGACTACTCATCATCAGTGTTGGATCTCCACGCCTCAGCGTATTCATCCCCGAGGAGGAGAGTTGATATTGTTCGAGTACACTTGAATCTGGGTTGCCCATACTGTTCTGACATGAACCTAGACTGTCTGAACCTGGGTGTACTGCAGGTGGGAATTCAGAGCCAATCACCTGTTCCTGTAATTTCTTCAAGTTTTGTTGCTGTTCGAAACAGTAATTAGCCACCGCTGCAGCCAGGTGTTGATTTGGGGGAAAGTGTGGTTGGACAAGTTGATGGGAACCATCTGGACTCTGGACAAGAATCATTGAAGAAGTTCTGACTTTCCTCTCGGCTCCAGGCAAGCCGTAGTTCATGGGAGGTGTGATTGAGAACGCCGAGCCAGTCATGGTGGGTGAAACGATCTGCCCGTTTTTGGCGCTCGGTATATGAACATCTGCGCTGGCTGTGGCAACCGAATTGGTTTCGCTGATCGCGGACTGCTGCTGTAACTGTTGATGCTGTTGATAGAGGTTGGCGAATTCCGCAACATGCGGTAACTGCTGTGGTGTTAGGATGCGACTGTCACTTCCCACACTGCTTTGTTCAAAACGTCGTTGTGGATTTCTGTACAGCGCTTCCATCATATCTTCATTCCAACCGTGACTTTGAGCCATTAGACGTGCAACTCGTGCGTTGTGTATCTCGGTGGCCATGCAGAACATGTATTGCATCCGTGGAGGGCGTTTGGTTCCTGGGTTGGAAGAGAGAAACATAGGAGGAGGAAGTTTACTGGTTATTACCGACTCTCGCATGCTGGTGTAAAGCTCTAAGTTCAAGGCAAACCGTAATAACTTATCGTAGGTTTATTGTGGGATACATGATTCCCAGTTGTGAATCCGAGTAAAGCATGCCCAATCTTAGAATGCAACTTCCTCAGTTCATTTCTGAGTAATGCACTGCATTCCTGCTGCATCTGTTTTGTAGTGATCGCTGAAAATTCCGCAACTTGATTTTGCACAATGCTTGTCTAGGTTTGGCCTAACCTGACCATTGCGCATGACACAACAGTAGATACATTAAAATGACCAAGACTATTATGTCAACACATGGTTGCTTTTCATCCTCAATTTAACCGGTCGGCGCGGTGCACACCAAATAACGTCAAGCGGGTTGCAATGCTAGCTATATGAGTTGCCAGTTTTTCTTGTGCGAAATCGGTCAGATGATTGTGCTTGTTGGTACCACTGTCTGGGCTTCGTAGCAGTGCATAGCGGAACAAGCTAATGGGATGGGGGGGCAACTATGGGGAGTGGACTAGTGAGATAACGCTTGCAATCCCACATGCACGCACACACGTTCACACAAGCACGGACGCACGGACGGACGCGCGCACACGCACGCCCGTAGGTACGCACGCAGGCACGCAGGCACGCACACGCGAGGAACCACGCCTGCGACAGCGTTACTCAACATACGCTAACAACTAAACACATACACACATGCTTGTCAGCGCCGGGAGGGTTGGTTAGTGTGGCAATGGCTGTGAATAAATATACCAAGAACTAGCGGGAATCGAAAAGCAAGCAAACTCGATGGACAAATGAATGGGAGTAACTATAAAGCTGTCAGATTGGTTTCAGGCTGTACGATCTCACTTCTTAGATATGAAGAAGGAAACATTTACTGTACTTTTCCACGATGCGTTTTTGACAGATAAAACTGCACTCAGTTGTACTCACTTGAGTATTTTCGTATCAGCGCACATCGTATGCAACAGAAGACGTTGATAGACACCGAGATGAAGACCGTGACCATTGCACAGATGACGAGAAGCTCGCGGATAATTGCTGATGCTGAAAGGGATGAGTGTGAAAGTGACAGAGAGTTGATAGTGATGCTTCTACGAAAAACTGAAAACATACACCGCCTGAGAGCAACCTAAGCACACTGCTACCTTGCCAGGGACGAAACTGTGGTACCTACTACTAATCAGGGACTATAAAGTGAGGTCGTTCAGAAAACGGAAGTTTTGAAAATGGAACTTAGCACTGTGATGCTGGATTGATAACACCCCTTTTCCAAGAAGGAAATTAAGAGCCAGACAACTTCCAGGTAGGGTTTCAGAATTTCCAGTGGATTGGACCAAACTGGGCTGTCCTGATGCTAACAACACTAGCAGTGGAAAGAATATCACCAGCTTAGTGAACGGAAGGATCTGCGCTAGGCATAGTTCTATATTGAAATCCTGGAGAGTCGCGCTACTTTTATCGAATAGAGTAGTATGGTTTAATAGTAAATTTGAGTGCTCGCGAATCGGCAGCGTTGATGTGTCAAAAATGTTGAAATATGGCGGAGTTTTGCACATAGCCAAAGGAGCTTGTGAGTTTGTGTGACTTCATGAGATTTCGCAAACGAGGCATGCGGAGGACCGGATCAGGGCTTAACACGCCGAAAGTGGCTTGTTCGTTTATCCTTCACAGTGTCCCGTTTCAGCGCCACTGTCTATTTTCAGAAGAGTTCAAGCACCCGGCATGAGGTATGACCGTTTAACCTTCCTTTTACGGGGATATTCTATAAACTTAGTTTCCAGATTACACTAATATGGGCCTTCCTCCTCAAATTGCACTTGTGTGTAGTCGATTTCGATAATCCAGACGAGATTGACAATACTTTTCGCACTTAACCTGTAGAAGATGCAAGCAAAGACTGCCAATCCACTTATTTGGGTTCTCATTCGCAAAAGCGACCTGTATTCCCAAATAAACTACGTCATGTATTAATTTGATGAAAGCCTGCCACTAACCTCGAAAAATTCGGGGCTCCTCAACAAGCACTGTTCGCCGAATTACCATAACTTGTACTTTCTGACTGGAGTTTAGACCCACCGGTCAAGATTTCCAAGGAATCCGAGAAGAGTCAACGATACGAGGCATTGGAAACCCACATATGTGCCGCGAAGTCCAAATGACTACGTAGTAGCATTTGCCTTAATCCGAGAGGTAAGTTATGTTATGACAGGTTAATAGGAACTTGTATACCGAATCACTAGAAAGCATGCGTCACAAAAATGACAGCAGTCCGCACTGTAGCTGCAAGTACAATCTAACTTGACCTCGAGACTATTCCCCCATTAAGGTGCTTACTCTGTCGATGTGCTTTTGATCTGCACCTGTTTTGCTCACCTTTCCGTCCCGTCCGACACTAGTATACTGGCATTTCTGTACGTGTGTGCATGTGTGCAGTTGACCTACTTACCCATGCTAAAACTGCCCTGCCTGTTCTGTGATGATTTCCGCCAATCAGTAGCACCTCAGGGAAGGGATGGCCGCAACCCACGTTGCAGAGGCAACATTTCGCTCCCCGTTGTTTGGTGCCCGGACCTTGAGATTGCACTGCGCTGGTCACTGATTAACCAGTGCACAAGCTGACCCTATGAAGCTGGACACTTGTCGTTTGTTTTATAACTCCGCTCACCTTTGTGCAAACACTACCGTTGACTTTCAAACCCATCCATCCTCAAACGGACCAGTTTCACTGTGACTCGCAGCACTGATTGGAATTTGAATTGACCCGTCTGGCAGTTTTCTGGCCAAAACCAACTACTTCCTTGTACTGGGACTTCCTAAATCGATCATGTTACACTTGATTCTTAACCGTTTCCTTTCCCATTACAAAAGATGCGGTGAATTCCACGAGTTGGTGCTCAAAGCGCCACAATCCCAACTTTTGGCCACTTATGGCTGCAAGTCTAGCAAACTTCAAAGACGCCGAAACACTGAAAATGGTGTTATCAAACCATTCGACTGATCGCACATTTATGGTACGTTCGTATTCTACGTTTGCCTTGACTTCAAAGTTGAGGTAATCTTCAACGCATCGTCGTCACCGTGACTGACAGATGCATGCAATGCTAAACTGTAGTCTGGAACACGTGCGGGAGTAGCAACGACTTAACCGGGCTGTTTATGTGCAGCTATCGTAAATCTGATTATAGAGACGATTTGCGCTTTATTACTGCCCGCGATTCGACTGCCTATAGCAACAGTGTTTGTGAAACCTGCAGAAGGTCGTACGGGATATCAGGGAGTGTGCGTAGTACGATTTGTCTAGGGTTCTGGGTAGCCGGTTCTTCGATCTCATCAATGATATGTACAATGCCAAATGACGGACATTTAGCTTTTGATCGTAATCGGACCAAGTACTTCAAAATGGCAAAGTTTACCTGAGTTGTGCAGGAACCTGATACGGTAGGTAGGACAATATGCACAGCTTTTTCCAACTACCCTGTCTGATCCGACATACTCTTGGAGTACATCGCTCATACAAACAGAGCATTCATTCGCAGGGAGACTCTCCAACCGACTTATCTTTGATCAACCTGTTTTTATCCCTTGGCAAAGAAGATCTGAGTCACAAGACTTCACAACCCTGTTTGAAAAATCCTTTGTCTGTGGTTAAAATATAAGTTACTGTTTTTTAAACTTAATTGAAAGCCAGCGAACTCCAATCACTTGCATGCCCGTTTGGTTTTGACGAGAGGCTCATTTGGAAAACCTAGCTGAACCCCCCGTTTCTGATGTTTTTAAGCAACTGGATTTGTTGCACAGGCGGCCTCATTTTTCACTTGGTACGATATTCGAGGTATCGCGATACGATACACTACCCATGAGGTTGCTGAAAATTCTTCGATAGCCCACGACCGGTTTCGCTCTTTTTGGGGCTCGTCGGGTCAGTTCAGTCCCCGAGTTTCGGTCAATATCATAAACAAGAAACTTATCTGGTTCGCTAATTTGGCGCAGCTTGGTTTCAAGTAGAACATAAGGTTGACGGAAACTCGGGGACTGCAAATACCTGATGAACCTCAAGAACTGCGAAACCAATCGTGTTCGTGAATTCAGGTTCCAGGTAATGGACTTAGTCTTACTGACTTGCCTTCATTCACAGGTTACCCCTAACTTATTGATTACCTCGCATCCGTTTACCTAGGTACGCGATTTATGGGGAATATTTGTACAGTCTTTGCCATTTGGAGCTTAGCCCCGTACTAGTGTGTCCCTTTAGGCATTGTTACTTTTCATTCAGACTTATTTGAGAAAGCGGCCCACTGAAACGAACGCTCTTTTAAAGTTCGATTAATGCAGAACACGAAGGTTAAAGGCCTTTTCCGTTATTCATAGACCGTTCTACCAGGCTAATCATTGTGATAATGACCGATTAGTGTAGGGACCATACTACGTTTCAACTACATTCTTTAATCAGGTGCCAGTGGCCCACAGCATGAGTTCAACGTCCCGCCTGACTGTATGACTGTGGGCCTGACTGTTACTCCTTGTTTTACAAGGGCTGCATTGGAAACAGTAAATAAATTTTAGTCGGATACCTTCGCTGGACTTTCGTCCTTGTGAGTTCCGCTTTCCGTTGCGTACCCCAAAGCCGAATGAGAGAAATGAACTTCGAAGGGATATCCGAAATCGGCTTTGGGAACGCTTGTTCGGACTAACTTGAACGTGGTTCTGTTTTGACTTAGAAATCGGGAACGACTGCACTTCTCGGCTATCCGGCACAGATTGGCTTCACTTATATGAGTGTCAGTTAAAAACTACTAAATTTTCTCACACTACTATCAATCTATAAGTAGCTCACCTGTTTTGAGTTAACCATTTGAAACGATTACACTCCTCAGCGATCCGGCATAGATTGGCTTCGTCTATGTGAGTTTCAGTTGAAAACTACTACTATCAATCTATAAGTAGCTCAGAGGAAGAAGGGAATTCACTCAATGATTGAAACCCCCATTGAAATCATCGATAAAGGAGTCACTCAACACTTGATCACTCGACTGGAAAATGCCTGACGCTATATCCTATCCACGTGCTTATTGATCACAGTGCTTCTCATCTGCTCGTAACCAAACGGTCAAGCGTTGAGAGTACTATCCGGAAGGTCGCGGTTTCGAAACTCCTTATTGGAGTTTCAGGCTTTTCAGCATAGATTGGCTTCACAGATAGGACGAAGTCCAGGTGAGAATTACCAAGTGTTCTCTGGCTACCGTCAATTAGGCTAAAAATTAGCTAAAAGTTTGTCTTCCTTTGACCGGAATACCCGGATTTATCAAGGACACTCAAGGAATGAGATGGGAGGCCGGTTTAAAAATGTAGGCTGGTTGAAGAATGCATGAAGACACCAACAACGAATTCACTCAAAAAGTATGACAACTTCGAAGTAAAGAAATGGGAACTGAAAAGACATTGACATTTCTTTAGACTTTGCATCAAACTTTTCACAAATTCTCACAGATTCCGAGACATTCTCAGAGAAGTTTGTAAAGTGTAAATAATGATTGGAGAAGACCAGTAAGAAGTCTTGATTCACTACTTAGATAGATGAAACTGCGTAGTTAAGTCCAGTTTTGTTATAAAACATTCCTCACAGAGAATCTCTTCTCCGTCCCCGCCCCTCCTGCAGGAGAGCGTTGCACTTGGTTACATGATAGTTTCGTTCCAAGCACACTCATTGATTGGTTTGAAACGCAGATGTGAAAATTTGTTCGAATAATTCGGAAAAAGATTAACTAGCAACGAAGATTTGTGGCAGGCTCACCTAGAATTCCGTGGTGTACAACCTAGCCAGTATAACTGTGGATTAGTTTATTAGTCTATGGAATGCCACTCAGAACAACATCCTGCACACTAGAAAACGGGTTTGTCAACCTTATAAAGGTGTTGTTGAGTGTTGTCCAGATAAAATCAAACCTTGACAGGATCTATCAAAGTTGTCAGATGCTATCAGGAGTGAGGAGATCCAAGTTTCACGTGCTAGGTCAATGCAGACAGGTGTCAGTGTAACGTCTCTC